CCGCCATTTTGGCTCCAAATCCTTATACAGTGGTCTTATGGATTGCGGTACTTTATATATCTAGTGACTTTAAAGGTACCCGATGGCTATTGGCTTAGAGTTGAGGACATGAAGAATAGAGATAAGGAGACCGAACTGACACGGAAAAATGTTCGAGAAACACGGCCAAATTGGTCGCTGGACTCTAATTTACTAATGCTCCGCTAGATGGCGCCTCCGTTTGACGGGACCCACACGTACACGCACCGGCGGCTATGTAAGTGTGTGGAAGCAGGCGAGACCGGCGACAGCGCACAAATACATGCACGATTTTAACTCTCCCCACCCTGCAATCTCTCCTCCTCCTCAACTATATATCTAGTGACTTTAGGTACCTTCAGATTGCAGTGCCATCTATTGGTACCTAAAGATACAACCATCGGGGATCGGTTTTGGTCGCGTGTCCCGAACATACAGTTCGGTCTCCTTATCTCTATTCTTCATGGTTGAGGAGGAGGAGAGGTTGCAGGGTGGAGCGTGGTGGGGAGAGTTAAAATCGTGCATGTATTTGTGCGCTGTCGCCGGTCTCGCCTGCTTCCACACACTTACATAGCCGCCGGTGCGTGTACGTGTGGGTCCCGTTAGAGACACTATAATCAGAGATGAGACACCAAGCCGGTCCGCCATGTTTAGGCTCGATCCTACGAGAGAGAGAGAAATATACACTATCTCACTCTATCGTATAGTTAGCTCTTTTCAGCTGCACTACTGCACTTGTGTAGCAGAGTGTAGCTGACAAAGACCACAAGGACCTAACCACAAAATCACGACAGATTAAGGATACATTTATTAAGTGACTCACTGAATGCAAAATGGGCGGATGTTCATACCAATTTTGCAATAATTCCTCCAAAAAAGGATATACAATGAGAATTTTCCCCAAAAATGCAGAACGTTGAGCTGTATGGGTACGAAATATGGGTCGTGACAATTGGATACCAACGGATCATTCTTATCTCTGCGAGGTAAAACTATTTTTATGCAATAATTATTATTAAACTATAAAATAAAAATTGTTTTTATCATAGGTACACTTTAGTTCGGAAATGTGCTCTTATTAGGCCTCCCTTTTTCTGTACTTGTACTTTTCATATCAGAACCTTATGTAATTTATTCGTCATTAATATAGCTTTGTTTTCTGTTCGTACACTGGTGAACTAATGCAGTAAGCTAGAATGAGAAAAATATCCTTGTCTTACTCTAATTTATTACACTAGTTCACCAGTATAGGAACTGAAAACAAGCCTTATATAATTCATGTATTTGAAAATCAGCGGCAATAGCCTAAACATGGCTGACCAATCAGAAGATGATCCCTGGTGTCTCATCTCTGATTATAGTGTCTCTAGGTCCCGTCAAACGGAGGCGCCATCTAGCGGAGCATTAGTAAATTAGAGTCCAGCGACCAATTTGGCCGTGTTTCTCGAACATTTTTCCGTGTCAGTTCGGTCTCCTTATCTCTATTCTTCATGCCAGGGGTAAAGCAAAGCTGACTTGTGTTGCGATGGAGTGGGGGTAAACGCCAGCTTTAGCTTCGCTCCGTGAAATGGCAGCTTTAATCGAACGTGATTCGTTGAATCAGAGGTAAGGTAACCAATCGCAACGGCGGCGTCTGGGTGTGCGCCAAGTTGGGCTAAAAAGAACAGACCTCGGGTGTTTGTATTTCGTCACGAAATCAATGGCCACGTTCAGCAGGCTCAACTGTTGAGTGAGCGCTCAACGATTTCTTAATATGATTGGCTGGATCTAAAAGTATTTGCAATCATACCGAGCGCTCACTCAACAGTTGTGTCTAGAGAGCCTCTGCTCTCTAGTTGTGTCTGCTGAACGCGGCCAATGGTCATGTTCAGCAGAACGTTTATTTTGCAACTGTTGGAAGTTTTCTGTGCTATGAATGGCCGCGTTCAGCAGACACAACTGTTGAGTGAGCGCTCAGTGATTTCTTAATATGATTGGCTGGATCTAAAAGTATTAACCAATGGCCGCGTTCAGCAGACACAACTGTTGAGTGAGCGCTCAATGATTTCTTAACATGATTGGCTGGATCTAAAAGTATTAGCCAATCATACTGAGCGCTCACTCAACAGTTGTGTCTGCTGAACGCGGCCAATCATACTGAACGCTCACTCAACAGTTGTGCCTGCTGAACGTGGGCATTGACTACGTTTCCACCGAGGGTCAGAGTCGGGCTAGAGTCGGGTCAGAATCGGGTTGGGGTTTGGTGTTTCCACCGCAAAAACGCTCACCCCAACCCGACTCTGACCCTCGGTGGAAACGTAGTCGTAGTCATTGGATTATTCCTCTGGTTCTAAAAATGTAATCCAATCTCAGTACAGAAAATGTTCAACAGTTGCAAAATAATGCGTAGTCTACAATGCGAGTCGCAGAGTCGTAGTCGTAAGAATAATCGACTGCGATTGGTTAATTTCATCAGACACATAAGAATTGACCAATCATAGTCGACTATTCTTACGACTATCAGGGTGCTTTCACATGGAGCGTAAGTTGCGTAGCGTAACCTGCGTATCGCCAATCACAGGACTAGTTCAACGGAATTATTGAAACGGTTCTATCAGCATGATCCTGTGATTGGTGATACGCAGGTTACGCTACGCAATTTACGCTCCATGTGAAAGCACCCTGACTTTACGACTTCTATGTAGACGGGGCTTAAACGTTCTGCTGAACGTGGCCATTGTTAAGAATGCCAGTCAGCTTTGCGTTAAAACTACAACGTCGTTCTTTTATTAACAGAATAAAAACTTGCAAGAAATTAAGACCATTTAGATAACGCATTTTTTTTATAGAGAGAGAGAGAGAGAGAGAGAGAGAGAGAGAGAGAGAGAGAGAGAGAGAGAGAGAGAGAGAGAGAGAGATTGGATTATACTTTTAGATCCGCGCCGTTATAAGTCTATTTCTCTGGATCTAATAGTAGAATCCAATCAGTGGAAAGCGCTCGCGGAGCAATTTTCCCCGCTCAACGTACCCACCGCTACAGATATATTTTTGTGTACGACGGACTAAGGTTATGTCTCGTGCAAATTTTTAAATTGTGCCGGGCACCCTTTTTTTCTACGGGAATCATAGCTCTAAGATGTAACCAGATTTAACGATTGCTTATCAAGTTGCGACAGTTACACAGCCTCAGACGACGAAGACAATGAAGTTGGTCAAGCCCAATTGGGTTACTCACGACGGTTTGTAGCGTTTACTGCCTTTCTACGACACTCGGGATCAATTGTTAATGCAGATTTTGACGTTTGTCTCTCGTTTCGCCAGGGTATCCGATATTTTCTATCGACATACATCCCAATGGGAAAAGATTTGCCACCGGTGGTCAAGGTATATTCCTGCCTCTATCGTCTATTCTACCTTTTAACAAACATGTATATTGAGGCTGGTCTACAATACATGGAGTAAGGAAATAAATCCGTTTTATTTCTTACTCCTACTTCAGCTCTTGCCCAGATAGCACACTGAATTCACAAAGTATTAGGCCCCGGTGGTCGAGCTGGCTAAGACGCCCGTCACGGATTGTAGGGAGGTCCCAGGTTCGAATCCTGGCTGGGGTAATATTTTTCGCAATAAGAATTTTAATCGCCAGATATGGTCAACAAAATCACCAATATCACAAAGTATTCTTTAAGTTTTCTTTTTTCTGAATTGTAATTCTTTAGGAATTCATAGAAGAATACAATAAAGAGTGACAGAGGAAGTTACGTGCACCATAAATCGTTTCCTGACAACTTCTTAAAGTATTCATCTCGAATTCAATAAATGTAAACTTTATGAATTCAAGGGGAATAGTGTTAGAACAAAGAGGATTACAAAATATTTACCCAATGTATGTACACACCTAATGTGCAGTAACATTACACCATTATTATAATTCCTCACTCAACAGTGAGATACTCTCAACTGAAGCTCGTTGACAATCGGATGATTCTTCCGTTTCGGTTCTCGTCGTTCGATTCTTTCTTTTACACAATAGAACTGTTGCACAAAATTAATTGCATATAACGTTACGCACACAAAATATTGCACGTGTAACGCGCTGCACAAGAACGTCCGGACGGCGGTTAGCGGATACTCGCGCATGACAAATAATTCCTCATAAATTCTTAAAGTTTTCACAGTACTGAATCGCAAAGTATTCATTATAATGAACTTCAGAAGAATACTTCAAGACGAACTGATTAAGACTAATTCTTCAAGAATTCTTCAGATATTCATTTTTCTAATTCTGTATGCTTTCTTTAAAATGAATTCTCTATGAACTTATGTTCATCTTTGTACTATCTGGGTAGACTTGCTCTCGGTGAATCAAAATGCCGTCAATCAGCGTTACAAATATTTTAAAAATTATGCCCGCATTTCAGCTTCCTTACACCAAAAGCTACAAGTTAGGGCTCTCCCTTAGGCTGATGGTAGAGAACAGTCCGTAAACGCTAAGACTGTCTCAGTCGTAGACGTAGGGCGAGGCAGAGAGAAACGTAAGTCGTGAAAGGCTATTGTATACGACTTACGTTTCTCTCTGCCTTGCCCTACGTCTACGACTGACAATGAGACAGTCTTAAGCGTTTACGGATTGTTCTCTGCCATCAGCCTTACTCCTTACTCCACGCTTACTCCACGTATTGTAGACCAGCGCTTGAACACTAGAAATGCGCCAACGAGATACTTGTATCTGTGATTATCGCGTTGAAATTATTAGGTGGCGATTCAGGGAGAGTTGTTATATGGAATATGGAACCGGTAGTTAACGAGACTGCCGAATTAGATTCTAACGTTCCGAAGATGCTTTGTCAATTGGACAACCACCTTGGTAAAGATGAATTTGGTTTATATCGTTAAATTATTCGCGCGTCCAATATCGACGTATAATTGTCACTTTGATATTTCAGCGTGCGTCAACTGCGTTCGATGGAGCAACGGTGGACTGTTGGCATCGGGTGGTGTAGATAAGCTTATTATGATCTGGAGATTGTCTGGGTCCGGTGGGAGTTGTATGTTTGGTGGAAAAGCCAGCGTGGAGACTTGGAGGTGTATCGCGACGTTGCGCTCTCACGAAGCTGACGTGCTCGATCTTGCGTGGGCGCCGCACAGCCCATGGCTGGCTTCCGCTTCGGTGGACAACAGCGTGATCGTATGGGACGCCTCCAAGTTTCCCGCGGTGGTCGCTGTGTTGAAGGGTCATACAGGCTTTGTGAAAGGCATCACTTGGGATCCCGTGGGGAAATACTTGGCTTCTCAGTCCGACGACAAAACGTTGAGGGTGTGGCGTACTACGGATTGGACGGAGGCAGCGTTAATATCCGAGCCTTTTGACGAGTGCGGTGGAACGACTCATGTCCTGAGACTCTCTTGGAGTCCAGACGGTCAGTACTTGGTATCTGCCCACGCTATGAACGGAGGAGGACCTACGGCTCAAATAATTGAACGAGACGGCTGGACACAGGATAAAGATTTTGTTGGACATAGGAAGGCGGTAACTTGCGTTGTAAGCACCGTTCTATCAATTGTAGGCATTGTCACGTTCCGTCATCTCTCCAACGAGTCTCTTTTACAAAGTTTGACACTAACGTGAGCTTCTCAAGTCAACCGTTACAGAATCCGTTGCATCTAAGTTATACACAAAATTATACTAAATCTACTATTTATTACACAAATCTAAGCGTTTGATTCTCACAGTTTTTTCTCGCTTGAAAAGGACCAAAACCCAAGGTCGAAACGTAGCGAGTTTGGAACATTAAAATAGCCAGATACGGTCAAAAAAAAAACTTGAAGTTATTATACAGTATACATACACGAGTGTGTGTGTGTGTGTAATTTCTCCTATGTTTCTTTTACAGAGATTTAATGGCAATATTCTGCAGAAGAAGCAGCCGGGCTCTTCTAAGCCACAACAGTATTGCTGTGTCGCGATAGGATCGCGAGATCGTTCTCTATCTGTGTGGTTAACATCCTTAAAACGACCTCTGGTCGTAATTCACGAGTTGTTTACACATTCTGTATTAGATGCTAGTTGGTCACCGTGTGGCCTCCGCCTCGCCGCGTGCTCGTGGGATGGGACAGCTGTATTTATTGAATTTACTCAACAAGAACTGGGGCAACCTCTTGATCCTGCCGAGCAAGTAAATGTCCTACGTATACGCTACATTGTATTGTTACTATGGTACACTTGGTAGAACCGATTATTGTTTTCTCTGGGTTGATAGAGTAGCCTACACGAACGATTGTATGGCAAACCGTTGGTCCAAGGAGGTTGTATGGTGATGGAAGCACCAGAACTCCTTAATTTGAAGCAACCGGTGTCGAATCAATCTTGTCAAGTATCATCTGCTCCTAGCATTCCTCCTGTCGCTAACCCCGCGACTACTCCAGTTAAAGGGCCTATCAATAAACAAATCGAAACGAGAACTTCGGATGGTAAAAGAAGAATCACTCCCATGTTCATCCCACCACCAGCAGACACGACGTAAGTTGTTACAATCTCATCTTTATCTTTTTTTATTAAGTGAGTATAATGAGTTTTGATGACTTTGCAGAGATACAAATATCAGTGGTAGTTTAGGTACACCAACGTTCACGAGTACAGTACAAACGAAAAGCTCGATTGTGATAGAAAAACGTAACGACGTTGTTGCACCTAACGTCACCTCCGCCTCCGTGAAGCCAGCTGCTGTTGACGCACCGGGATCCTCCCTTACGTTAAAACGCAAGGAGCAAACGACACCGAAAGTACACCATTCTTCTCCGAGTAAGAAGCCGAAATTCATATCTGACAGGAATGTAGTGGGTCAGATGATTCTGCCTCCACTGAAGCCGTCCAGTTCGTTGTCCCAGCAGGCTGGTCATTACGCTGTGACTGTCACCAACAGTCAGGGCTTGGCTCATTTGCAAGTATTTAAGGGCACAGATTCTGAACCGACCTGGGATCTCTATTTAGGATACAGCGCTGTGGCATTAGCAGCGTCGCCGGCTGTAATAGCCTTGGGTCTGGAAGACGGAAGTCTTCATACGTTTCATCCTGCAAAAGGATGTCGGCCAGCACCACCGCTAGCGCCACCGGCACCTTTGGCAAAGGTTCATGCAGTTGGAAACGCGGTAATTTATTGATCGACTTAATTTCCTATATACGTACCGTATGTTTAATGCTTATAGATGTAAAACAATTTAATAGGTGATGGTGATATCGAGCTGTGGCGCGGTTCGTGTATGGGAAATAGGAAATACGTGCCGGATGATCGTTTCAACCTCAGCTGCTCATTTAGCAGCACCTGGAACATCTCTATTGTCGTGCACTTTGTACAATGGAATGCCTCACGTAGCATTTACTAATGCACGAGCATATATATACCATAAAGATATGGGTATAGCAAAATTCCTCATCCTTTCTTCTATATATTTGTATCTGTGTGATTACAACGATCATCGTATGTAGGCACATGGCTGTTAATTGGAGACAGTCAAGACCCTGTGTGGCGATGGTCGTCATTCAGCGTGCTGAGTACTTCCGGCAGTAGATCGCCTAGGGGACCTTTGTCATCGCTACAGGAAGGACTGCTCAGAACTTCTGGGAATACTTTACCAAATCCGCGATTACCGCATAGCGCGCCAAGCGTAGTTTCCTACTTGGAACAACAGTTACTCGCGTCTAAAGCTCTTGGAAGCGCCCAAGAATACGTTCATTGGCTCATGGCTTTGGTGTCATTCTTATTAACGCAAGGTGCGTCATATATTTCACGTTTACTTTTGGAAATATGAAACACGGATTTCTCTACTTTGTACGCCTTCACTCAAAATCTTGTACAAGGTATTGGGATATGCGTAAGGACGAGAGTCGGGGATCGAATCTGAAGTTGGTCGATTACGAATCGGCTCTCTTACAAAATCGTATGTCATTCTCAAATTTGCAAATTTTCTGTCTTTTTAGACGGTTTGGAGAAACGTCTAAGGCTAATTTTGGACGACCTTTTGGGTCCGAGTCATACGTCAGCTTCAAAAAGTATATGGGACCCTGTCATCTTGGTAATATTGTCTATACATACATATCGAATTAATTCTTTAACGATAACTTCAACTCAATTGCGTTTTATATTTTTCATGTTTCGTACAGGGAATAAGGAAACATAAACTTTTGGGCGATGTACTGGCCGTAGTCGGTGGTCATCTTCGTTGGCAAAGGTTATACCTCGAGTATTCGGAGCAGTTAACTTCACTGAGGAATCAAATTAATTAACGATGAGTCGTTACCGTGCAAATTCATTCATACCAAAAGCATCTCGTCTTTGGATATCTTTGTATAATTCTAAAGATACCGTTGTGGAGATCTATTGTAGTAAGACTGTACAGTTTTTATATTAATACTTACGGTACGATACAGATGTATGATAACGAATAAACGATATTTAGTATATTAGCAATTGTATATAAAAAAAAAGTTGATTTCTCTCGTCGACGATGTTATTTACAATAGGTGAATCACTTGAGAAAAGTTAACGTGGACAATGATTGCACAAGTTGCAGATAAATTTAATAGGTTTAATAGGATAAAAAATTGAATACTTGATAATCAACTTGTATTTATCGTTTTGTCTTAGAATATTCAAGTGCAATTTACACTTTATACAAGCAATAAGTTATATTAAGTAATCAATTATCACAACTAGTACTCTGCTGAAAGTTACATATACCTTATATAATATATTAAATAAAATCTTTGCAACGTATTTTTCGTATAATAGCAAAACGTTTGCGACGTCGAGTGAACAATTTTATCGAGGGCTAGATCAGTTCTTCCAATTGTTAAATGTGTTAAATTTGTGATATGCGTTCTACATCAACATAATAACGTAATTTTCGAAAACTGTATTCAACGCAAAAATCGTGCCTTTGCTTAAATCAACTAGCAGATACCGGCCTTAATTATTATTTTCCGTTTGACACAAAGATGACAAAATGTCCTCGTAGTGTTGCATATTTGTTTCAAATGTTTCCAATTGTTTAGTGAGATCTCCCAATTGTTCCGCAAGAGTTCTTTCCTCCATAAAGGCTTGCAATTGCGGAGCACTTTGACACTCTCGATAAAACGCTCCTACATCGCTGTTGGTATTCGTGACGGCGAAAGGAGTTTTCTGTAACAATATTTAAAGTTTCTTTCGTATACAAACGTGTGTGTGTACATATACATGTGAATTTTTAAATTTACTTTGATATATTTCATAAATTACAACTAGGTAAAATATTGCTTCTCAATATCAAGTAAATTTGTTCTCTCGCACCAACTGTAGAAAATACTTAGATATATCAAGTTATCGTGTTAGCATGTTTGGATTAAGAGCATCAATTACCAAATCTACCATAATAAAATCATCGTTGGCACTAGTCATTGAACAACTACTTCTTCTAGATCCGTTTTGGGATGCGCATTTCGAAGTGGCATTATCATTATTAAGTCTTTCATTATTCCCATTGTTGCTGTCGGTCGCAACAGCTGTCATTGCAGTCTTTGTGTTAGGTTCCATCAGCGATATTGGGGGCGGCGACGTTTGTTTGGGCGTTAATAGCGAACTGAACGGTACGTCTGGTATCACGAGGTCCTCTTCGTTGACAATGACAGGCTTGTTTATCACAAATGCGCCGACCTTAATGGTGTCGCTGAGTGACTTTGACGTTTCCTCGCTACACATTGAATTTCAAGCACCGTTAGATTATACTCGGTACGATTGTACTCGGAAATATTTGACATTTACCAACCTTTGCTGATATCGCGCGTGACGTGGACTCAAGTCCGAATGAAAATGATCGCTCTTAAGCATGATGGAATCTCGTCCCTTGTGGGTAGGCGATATAGTCATTTTTGTTCTGTAAGAGACCGACAGATGTATAGTGCCCACTGGAGTGCACAATTGACCTACTCTTACGTGTTTATAGTTGTCACCTGTTGCGAAATTAACATTCAATGAGAAGCTCCATAGTGACCGATAAACAATGTTTAATTATAATTTTGCTCGGAGCAAACCTAAATTATGTAGCTGAGGCTCTCCCATGTATATCCGATAGCACATGGTGTAGGAATCAGGCCCTTGCCGCCTGCTCAGTTTGTAAGCGGGCGTGACTCTTGATATAGCAATCAGGGACTTCAACACAATCCCCATTCTGTTGTACACAGTGTACGTCACTCGTACAGCTGGATCGCTCTGTTCTGGCAAGACGCCGAGGCTCCAAGTCTCCAGGACCATCTTGTCACCCTCCACTGTCTTCAGCGAGATTTCTATGCACAGAGGTACAGCTGAACTCACTATCTCTCCGCATAATGCTCTCTTGGCGTCGGCCGAGACTTCCGGCAGCTCCTTTATCGCCAGATTAAACTGCAACGTTAGATACAGACGCGGATTAACTTCAATCCTCGAGGCGAATGAAGGTAAAAAACAAGAAATCAGACAAGATAGATTACCCAGTCGCCGGCTGACGAGTCCGGCTTGCACGTGGTGTTGACCTTCTGGCCCGACCTCGACTGCACTATGATCTGCGCAGCCCTGAGCGCAAGGTACTTGGTAAACTTCTCCAGATCCTTCTTGTCTTGCATGCTTAGCTGTGCTGACATCGTACACGCCAGTGCAATTATGAACGCGGCACTACAGGTGTTCCTCGGACACGCGAGAACGGACGGTGCACATCCTCGGCGCGCGCGATCATGTCTCTCGTACCGCGGAGATTGAGATAGAGGCAGCGAGGTAGAGGTTACAGGTCGGGTCACAGAGGCGAGGACGAAAGTGGAGATCGCGAACGCTTACGCACACCCGGCACGCGCTCGATGCACCTCGAGCTCTTCGCACGGACTTCGGAATTCGTAAGTGGACTTGAGCGCACGCACGACACGCTTCCTCGGGAAGTTCCTCAACAGAATCGGCATCGTCGCGCTGCGTGCGGCCGCACGCGGCACGGCGGGTGACGACGGAGAGACAGACAGATCAAACTTCACTCGCGAGGAGTCGAGACACAAGAGTAGCAGGAAACACCAGCAACTTTTTCTCCCTTCCTATTTCTCGCGATATGCTACAAATCGATCCTCTATCAATGGCTCCTGCCTGCGAGGAACAATGCGGCCAACTCGAGTGTCCGGAAGAGCCGCTGTCCAAGTTGAATAAACGTCGTCTCTCTTCCCGAATGACCTTTTCGCAGGGATCAGCGTGAGCGCGCCGCGCGATTGTGCCCGCGAAAGCGAAACAGCCCACAAATCGATTGGAAACCAACGGTCGTTGCTGACTGTAGCCAACACGTTCCGTTGCCCCCTCGTAAACGCGCCAGGTGTAGACTACGCATGCACTTTCTTAGGCCGGGTCTACAATGGGTGTAGTAACAAGAAAAAACCGTTGACCAATCACGGCCGAAAGCGAGGCGGATAGTCGAGTAAACCAAAGCTTTAGACTTGATGTCTCTTTAGAGAGGTTTTTCAAAGAAAGATCGGTATTTTCTACGTTTTCCGCCAAGTTTATCGCAAGAGTAAACGCTTTTATCGCTCGTGTCGAGTCCCTCTAGTCCTCTCGCGCACACACACACACACACACACACGCAGTCTCTCTCTCCGATCGCGCGACCACTGCGACGCCTAACGGCACACGACTCCAACCACAATGACAGATAAGTCACTGGTGACAGATTCCGCTGTTGAAGAATCACGCGCGCGGCTTTCTTCAAAACTGGAAAATGAAACCCAAAGCGGATTTGCTGACTGAACCAGCGTGGAAACAACTGCAGCAATACTTTGACAGCGACGGCGCCAAGATTAATATATACAATATGTTCCAGCAGGATCCTAAACGTTTCGAGAAATTTAGGCAAGTCTCTACTCCACCCGTGACCTTGGGACGACCTCTCAAAGGTTATTTCTTCGGCGATCGAGCGAGACTATTTTCCGAGATTTCACAATCGCTTTTCTGCTACGCGGGGAAATAGAATGTTGAAAGAAACGAGATAAAACTAATTTGATGTACGTCAACCAAACGAAACGTTGTAAATAAACGAAGAAATATATTGCCAGTTTGGTTGACGTGCATCAAATTAGTTTTATCTCATTTTTTGAATTTCGCTGGCGACAAGAAGGAAGACTTTTAGTATCGAGATAAACATTTGTTTTTTTTCCTATTAAACGTAATAATGCGCGACGCATGCTCCTAGGTAGTCATTATTATTGCAAACGGTTCTACAAGGTGAATAAAAAGTTATTATGTAAAACAGCGTGGAGCTCTCCACTCCACAAGACGGGCCGATTTTACTGGATTACTCCAAAAACAAGATTAATGAAGAAGTACTTGGATTACTATTTAATCTGGTATGTATACAACTGATTTGTACATTAACAAGTGCACAACAAAATTATGTTCGTGCACTTGTTAATGTCTCATTGTGTATTTGTGTAATTTTGTAGGCTCGTGCGCGGGAGATAGAAGCCGCGCGAGGTGCCATGTTCGGCGGCGAAAAGATCAATTTCACAGAGAATAGAGCGGTTTTGCATATTGCTTTGCGCAACAGAAGCAACACGCCGATATTGGTGGATGGAAAGGATGTAATGCCTGATGTTAACGCGGTATTGGAGCACATGAAAACTTTTACGAACGAGGTAAGAGAAATGTTATTAATTTCAATTAATTCTCTCTAAACGCGCACTCGAAATATGTTTATTTGCAGATACTGACGAAACAGTGGAAAGGATTCACCGGTAAACCCATCGAGGATGTCGTTAATATTGGAATCGGTGGATCCGATCTTGTAATTTATGCCAGTTTTGTTCTCGCTCCAGTGGCTGAATATTTATTAAGATTTAATTACTCATTTATATTTTAATAGGGCCCACTTATGGTAACCGAGGCTTTAAAAGCATACAGCATCGGGCCTAGAGTTCATTTTGTCAGCAATATCGATGGCACTCATATAGCTGAAACTCTTAAGAAATTGAATCCGGAAACCACTTTATTCATAATAGCTTCCAAGACGTTTACAACACAGGAAACTATAACGAACGCAACTACCGCCAAGCAGTGGCTTTTGAAAACGTTGAAAGATGTGAGCGCCCGAATTTGACGTACTGATTACATTTACAAATCTGTTTAGCTCGATATCTAGCATTTCTTTTCTGATACAATGATACAATGGCGAAAATTGTTCAGGAAGCCGCAGTCGCCTGTCATTTTGTGGCATTGTCCACTAATGAACAAAAGGTTAAAGAATTTGGCATCAATGTGAAAAATATGTTTGGCTTCTGGGACTGGGTCGGTGGACGTTACTCGCTGTGGTCAGCTATTGGCTTGTCGATTTGTTTGTCAATTGGCTTTGATAATTTTGAAAAGCTCTTAAGTGGAGCTCACTTTATGGATCAACATTTTTGCACAGCACCGCTGGAGCAAAATGTAAGTATATTGAATATAAAATGTAATATAAATGGGTGCGTATCAAAGATCTCATTTCACAATTTTCACAATTGGTAAGCAACGTCCAATTCACTGAAACCATAAGCTAATCATCTATTTTAATCTTTAGGTCCCTGCCATACTCGCTTTACTTGGTGTATGGTATCACAATTTTTATAAGGCTGAGACACATGCGTTGTTACCGTACGACCAATACCTACACAGATTTGCAGCTTACTTCCAGCAAGGGGACATGGAAAGCAATGGAAAATATATTACTCGTTCCGGGAAAGCTGTAAATTATTCCACTGGTACGCTTTGCAATGTACAAACTGTATGTATACATACGGATTCTTGATTGCTTAATAAGAAAGTATCTATTAATTTTATTAGGGCCAATCGTGTGGGGAGAACCAGGCACTAATGGACAACACGCATTCTATCAGTTGTTGCATCAAGGTACGAGACTCGTACCAGCAGATTTTATAATTCCTGTTCAGTCTCAAAATCAGGTAAACAATTTGCTCTATCTATTAATTGGACTTATCTGCTGTTATACCGTTTTATTTATTGCAGATTCCTCCACATCATACGATTTTACTTGCCAACTTCTTTGCGCAAACCGAAGCTTTAATGAAAGGCAAGGGTGAAAATGAGGCTCGAGCTGAATTGCAAAAATCGGGATTAAACGCTGAACAAGTGGAGTTACTGTTACCACATAAGTTGTTTGAAGGAAACAGACCGACAAACAGTATTGTGATAAAGAAATTAACACCTTTTATTCTTGGCGCTTTGATTGGTAAATATCTTTTTTACTCAATGATGTGTACAAGATATGCAGCGAGTCACGATGATATAAAGCAAATTGTTACATATTCGTACCTGAAAGTTTTCTAGAAAATTAATGGACTAATTGAAAACATTTATTTTATATACTTTTTTCACACGGAATCATTTCTCTGCCGCGTCGTATTATTAGTTGGACATTAATCTACATATTTAAGTATAACGATACTTCAATTTTTCCAGCAATGTATGAACACAAAATCTTTATACAGGGAATTATTTGGGACATTAATTCATATGATCAGTGGGGGTAAGAAAAAAAATTACATTTTTGCATGAAACACAAGTTTCTATATGGGAAATTGTAAAAAAAATAAACGTTTGCAGCGTGGAGTTGGGAAAACAGCTAGCTAAAGCCATCGAACCAGAACTCGCTAGCGCAGAAAATGTCACAACGCACGATTCGTCGACTAATGGCTTGATAGCGTTTGCTAAACGTCACAACGCCTAAATGTACTTATTTATTCTTTGTTACAAGGTATTGAAAATAGACGCAACGTAAATAGTAGAGTCCGATCGAAACCACCTTTTTTAGTTTCGGCCGAAACCGAAACCGAAACCGAAATTTTTTGGAGAGTCTTATAAAAGAAATATAATTTTGAAAATTAGTAGAAAATGTACATTTTTTAAGGTTTTATTACATATTTTATCAAAATATAAAAGTATTTTACTCGAGTTACAATATAAAATAAAATATGAAGAAACATTATAAAATAAGAGATCAACTTCAAGAGAATCGGATATTACTATTTGACACTATTAGCAACCGATGAGCGTTTGAGAGATTACGTTCGATGTTATGCATTTCAGGCACTAAACATTTGAAGGAGAATAAAAGAGCGGGTAAAGAAGGAAGAAATCGCGCCGGCGCAATTGGCGTTGACCAACGCGACGTGTTGCGACTTCTAGTTTCTGGTTTTGGCTTACGTCACCGAAATTTTCTCTCTATTTCGGCCGAAACCGAAATCAAGCCGAAATCTTGATTTTAGGCCGAAAATGGCCGAAACCGAAACCGAAACCGAAATTTCGGTCGGACTCTAGTAAATAGCTCTATTCCAAGTTACATTATTGTGCACTTGACGTAGTTGGTGAAAGAAAGATTTCGAGAGCCAAACGTATAACTCTTAAAGTATCTTTAAGACTTGATTCTTTAGTTAGTAAGAATATTCTTAAAAGTCGCCAGAAGTAATTAATAACGTCAGTGATTTTTATTGACCGTATCTGGCAATTAAAGTTCTTATTGCGACACACGTCACGGATTGAGGGAGGTCCCAGGTTTGAGTCCTGGCTGAGGTAATATCTTTCGCAATAAGAATTTTAATTGCCAGATACGGCCAATAAAAATCACCGATGTTATTGATTCTTTAGCTCGCGATTGTGCTAAACTATGATGTACGGTCTACGTGATACAGAATGTATTAAAAATGTATAGTTTACGCTACACATGTTATCGAGACACTAAATTGTAGCATACAGAATTCACTCGTGAATCAATGTACAAAATTGTTCGATTGATGTTGCAACATTAGTGCAATATCAGAAAATGGGAAAAGTTTTAACTACAAAAATGACAATTATTAAGTTATATTTAATGTAATCCGGGATATTTAACGTATAGAATAAAATGATATAAACGTTATAATCTGAGCGTAATAACGTGGCAATACATTACATGATCCTTAAGTCCCAGTCTACAATAGAGATTTAAGCCCTAGGCCTTAAGAAATTGACTAATCACAGTCGCGATTCTACTCATACTTGACCGTGATTAGTCAATTTCTTAAGGCTTAGGGCTTAAATCTCCTATTGTAGACTGGGACTTATGAATGTGACGAACTTACAATCCAGATTCAATTTAAACGTCGCTCGACCCAACTTGGACCAACCTAAGTCTCAGGTTAGGTTACGTTGGGAGCCGAATTGAAAGTAATATTAAATAAACTGCTTGCTCTTGGATTCGAATGTCTCGATGTCTCCATTTCTCTGAATGACTCGAGAGCGATGAGAGGCAGCCAGCTATACGTACATTCGTCAGTTTTCGCTGTCATTAGTAGTGAAAAAAAAATGTAGTCTTCAATGAGTCTCGTATGATGCCGCCAGAGCTGTCGGAGTCTTCCCATTCGACCACTTGTCTTTTCTAATTTTAAACGGACACGTGTGTCGCGGAGCATCGTGGAGCCGTCGAGACACGGAGGTGACGGGAGGATCGGGTGTTGAACCCTCGCGGCCGTTTTCCACGTCCCTGTCCCAAGTCCCAGGTCGAGGTGAAAGCGCACAAAAGCGTCGCTGGTGGGCGGCGTCACGCTATGAGAAGCGATCTCCTCTAGCCGAGAGAAAGGATGGAGTCGTTGGTCGCGCAGTATAATCGGCTCGAGGATAACGTATTGCGAAATGTCAAACGCAACGGCATACGGCACCGGTACGTCATCGGCACTGTCGCTCGCTCCCCGTGGAAGCGAGTTAACCTAACCCTAACCTAGCAACGAGATCTGTCGCGTATTTCGTCGCGAAATTACGGCGAGCGATACGCTCGCATTGTAATCCGACAACGTGAACGGGATCGGGAGTTGCTCCTACGCGAGATTAAAGTATTATTGCGGATTTGCAGGGCAAACGCGAGCAGCGGACTATGGCTGGGCGCTTTGGTCGGCCTGAGTGCCGCGGTGACGATATCGAGAGAAGAGAGCAGTTACTCCGAGATATGCCTGTTTGTGGGAACCACGGGCTTCGGGCTGATTCTCTGCTCGCTATGCCTTTACGCGCGGCTCTCGATGAAGCAGATCGTAGCGAAGGACTTCCACGCCATATACTTTGTACCTGCGATCATAACGTCCGTGCTGTTTCTACTCGCCGCTAACAAAGGTATGTCAATCGGCGAATACATTGCTCGGCGGATAGAGAAAACGTTGTTACGTTACTAGGGCTGTTGACGAGCGTCGCGTGGGGCCTGACCGTCGCAAGTTTGGGCACATGGGGCGTCGTACAACTAATGTCGGCTTTCCCAGGCTGCTTTACGGTAGGCGAGGCAACGGTGGTTACGCACAGTTTTATCTTGTTCCTGATGTCGGCCGTCACCAACTTGCCCCTGCGATATCATTTGCCGCCGATTCACGACGGTGACATAAGCACGGTTGTGCTGCAGGTAATAAAATTGTCCTGGGGCCAGTTTCACAAACGTCGATCAACTGTTAACCAGAGTTCAGTCAACGCCCTATATCTTTTTCTATCTTGTTGTCTAAATAACAGACTGAGAATCAATTAACCTTCGGTTAGCAGTTAACCGTCGTTTGTGAAACTCGCCCTTATGCCCGTTTCTACCAATGTAGATTAACTTTAATCTTGGCTGAAATTATTTCTTGTCTTTTACCAATTCGCAAAACTAGAAAGAGATACAATGTAAGGGCCAGTTTCACAAACGTTTAACCGCTAACCCATGGTTAATTGATCCTCTGTCTCTTCTTGGATAACAATATAGAGAAAGATAGGAAGTCGACTGAACTCTGGTTGACAGTTAACCGACGTTTGTGAAACTGGACCTAAGTTGAATCGAGATTAAAGTTAAACTACGTTGGTAGAAACGGGTATTAGTCTTTCTTCTTCTCGTCACACGAGACGTACACATGATATGTTGCAGGTTGCGATATTGTACGTAGTATCGGTATGCTTCCTGTGTGGATATTTCCCCGTCCTCCGTAGCACAGCGTACTTTTATCTAACGATAATCAGCCTCTTATGCTTGGTAACTCTTCCGACACTTTACATTATTCTCGATCAAAATCCAATAGTATGGGCAGTTTCTTTCGCTTTTGGCAGCCGTGAAAGGGTAAGGAATAATATTATAATTTACACCGCTCGAAACAGAGCGATTGTTATCGGCCTCACCTTATTCTTACATGTTGCAGATTGCAATAGTTATTTACTGGGCAGTGTGTTTTCTGCTGAGTATCTTCATCATAATCTACCAAATATTGTCGAAATCCCAAGCTACAAGTCCTACTAGAAAGAACTTTCACACGTTAGCCACACTTGTATATATTCCTGGCATGATATACGATCCTTTGCTACTGTATCTTGCCAGTGGTGTATTGTTGATACTACTTGTTGCTCTTGAGGTACTTGCAGAGAGTTATATCGTTACAACTATTCTTACTTCACTTGTATACTCTACGTTAATGTAATAATGACGAATTATCCCTCAGGTAATCAGACTTCTCAAAGTCCCGCCATTAGGAGAGATTTTGCAGCAAGGATTTATTGCGTTTGCCGATGAGAAGGATTGTTTGCTTTCATTAACACCTATGTACCTGTTGTGTGGTTTATCGTTACCTCTTTGGATGCCAACTAATAATTTGACGCTAATGGTATTACTTAGCGGCGTACTGACGGTAGGGATCGGTGACACTGCTGCGAGCTTCGTCGGTAACAGATGGGGTTCGCACAAGTGGCTCGACACGGGGAAAACTATCGAAGGCACCGTCGCATGCATATTTTGCCAAGTTTGCGTAATACTCGCGCTAACATGCTGTGGTAGATTTTCGCTTCTTATATCTCCCTAACATTTCTCCCACGATACTGTCTCTTGTTTATTCGAGATCACTTCTATTTTGCTAGGTCTCGTGGATAATTACCTGCTACTGCTGAGAAGCATCTTGGCGGCTGCATCGATATCGTTGATCGAGGCGCGCACAAATCAAGTGGACAATCTGGCTCTGCCGTTATTGATGTATGTATGTTTGAGGATATAAGCGCCTACTTTCCAACTCGATGATAACCCGTTAGCCTAAATTCATTTTTAAGAAAATTTATAGCAACTATAGATACAATTACGATATTTGTGATGTTTAATCGCTTTTTCTAATGCCAGTGAGAATATATATACATGTATATATGTATGTAACTAATATACAGGGTGACTCTAAAAGACACTTTTCTCTATATTACTTAATAACAAAAAATTGTTAAGTGGGCGCCAACGATTTGGCGCCTATCTTTGGCCGCGCGCACCGGCTAAAGATCGCTGCTGGTCCGTTCGGCTTTGCTTAACAATTTTCTCTTACGGTTGACAACTTTTCGACTCAGCTTTTTTAATAAGAAACAACGCTACGTAATTTGCGGGCGGCCTTTCAGAGACCCTGTATATACATGTATATATGTAACTTATACAGAATGTATATAACATTTTTTATGCTGTTTCATAGTAAAAAATCGTACTTGGATCGATACATCCATCTGTATTGTCTGCAAAGCTAAAGCTAACTTGCAGTTTTAGCGTTAATTTACCCATTTACGAAAGTGATATGTGTAATTTTCTTAGAAAGACAAACAAATAAAGATACAGCTGTTAATGCAATTATCTTTATATATGATGTTGTTAAGTGGTGATAATGTACAAATATTTATACTTATAACGGCGTAACACGTTATATATTTTTCTGTATATATCAATATATATATATATATATGTGTAACATATACAACTTATATATTTATCCAAAGAAACGAATCGTACAATGTGTAAAACAAATCGTATCGATAGATGCAATCAATGTGAATGCGAAGATCGGTGAAGGCAGAGATGTTGCGCATTTAAAATTTACTAACTTATATTTACTCACAATCTGCGAAACACCGATTATGTGCCTGATATATTTCATTCATTCCTGACTAAGCACTTTTGTATGTGAGCCATGTGAACTTTCCGATAATTACTAATACGAATAAAGAGTTATTTTTCTATTTTACGATGATTGTTGTTTCTTATAGGTACCATCTGTATACATATATAAAATTCTAAGAGGAATTTATCAATTTACTATGTCGTATATGCAGGGTTGGGAAAGTTACTTTATATAAAAGTATCTAGTTACAGTTACAGTTTTTTTGCTAAAAATGTAACCAGTTACAGTTACAAGTTACCAATTCTAAAAAGTAACGCGTTACAGTTACAGTTACTCAAAAAGTAACGAATCGGTACTTTGCAGTTACTTCCTTGCAATGAAAATAACAATATCATATCTGTGTTTGAATTATGAAGTATTGATAAAAGCGTTTATGTGCAAATGCAAGACCTAATGCGATCTGTGGAGGTTTAAAATACATATAAAGTAACTCTAAGGGCCAGTTTCACAAAGGTCGATTAACTGCTAACTGACGGTTAATTGATTCTCTGTCTCTTCTTAGAGAACAAGATAGAAAAAGATAGGGAGTTGACTGAACCCTAGTTAACAGATAACTGATATTTGTGAAACTGGCCCTTAATGTAACTATCAAATTAGTTACTAGTTATCGAAAAAATGTAACTGAGTTAAGTTACCGTTACAGATGAAGAGAAAGTAACGAAGTTAAGTTAGAGTTACCAAAAAAAAGTAACTGTAACTGTAACTTCGTTACAAGTAACGAGTTACTTCCCAACCCTGCGTATATGTCTAGGAAGTGTCACTCGAGTGAATTTTCTGTCGAAATTTCTTTATCATTATACCACCACCGTTATAATCTTTCTCTCTTTAAAGCAGGATAATTGTGACGAATTGAAATAATCGTTAATTGAGATGCTTATTTTAATGTTTTATTGACCACACAGCCTTAAAATCTCAGTTGAGAAGCGGAATGATTGTTCATGTGAAATTTCACTTGAAATACGAAATAATAATTAAAGCAGTGACTTGAAAGTAGCCTGTTTTAAAAATCGAAATTGTGACATGTCCATGAAACACGCCAATGACAGAAACGAGCCGAGTTAACATATTAACGTAGAAAAAGAAAAACTTTCCACATGATTTGATTTTGTAAAACTTGTTTAAAAGATTATTTTTTTAAAGGAACGCTACTTTAAATAATATTTGGTATCCCAAGTCAGATTTTTCATGAACAATCGTGCCACTTCTTAGCTAAGCACAATTTCAATTGGTCTCTAATCAAACTATTGATTAGAAATTAATTGAACCGCCCGCGTCTTAAAATATAAAACTCCATTCTGAAAACTCGCTGTCTCATCTGATACGCTCTTGAGATGAGATTCAAATAATGACTATAAATACACCCTTTCATCCTTGATTCTGGGATATTAGTCTGATGTATCGGTATTCTCTCGTCCTCACAGAATGACTTTGCATAAGAAATCATTCGGTACTCGATCGTCTTCACGGTCCAAAAAATGACAAACGGATATACGTTATGTATCGCTACATACTACTTATTATATTTGTTTCTCAAGTGTGTAGTATATATATGTATATAATATATATAAATAATATGTATATATATATGTTGTATTTTTTAATAATTGTATAGCAATTAAATAAATATCCTGAAATTCTCTGTAATACATGTGATTTCTTAGTGTGAAATCATGTGTAGGACAACGTTACGTCGTGTTCGCTATGTTAAAATGTACATAAAACTTATTCGGTGTATCTCTTGAGTCTCATCATGTGATATATTGCGACTTTCTCGTCATTGTATACTTTCGATCGCGATGTCTGGAGACGTTTCTGTCGTTGACTCGCCTTCCCTCGCTTCTTCTATCTCTCGCGACGCGATTGCAGCCCGATATTCGCGCTTCTTCTTTCCGCGTCACAGTCTTAATTATTACAAAGGAAGTACGATGGAACATAGCTAGGGTGCACAGTGTGAAATTTGTCCGAACTCTCAGGATAAAAATATGCTAATTGTATAATATAGAAAGATTTTGTACACATGTACACACACAGGCGCGCACCATGCACGCAATACACACACACACACACACACACACACACACACACACTTCCTCTTTCTCTCTTTGTTGTTCCAATATTGCTTCGCAATTTATAATTCAATATCTAAAACGTATTTACACGGGAAAATTTGCAGATAGAAAACGTAAATGTTTTCTTCAATAGATAAATTTTATTACTTTAAACGGAATTGTTCATAATTAAAGTTAATTATTCTAGTGAGATTTAGAATATATGTTAATAGGATTATTTGAAATTAAAATTTTATTTTAAACTTGACATTCGTCAATTCATTCGGTTTCGAAATGTTGAAAAGAAAATTCTTGATTCCGTTTTGCAATTAGTCTAAATTTTTGCACGCGTGAGCATTGATGATCGTGAAAGAAAGAAATAAACTGCAGAGTTGAGACTGCCTATTCGTACATATTCGTACATATAGGTGTCACGAGAGAAAAAGAATGTGTTGAGTTTTTATAGCTTGTATTTATAAAAAGAAGCCAAAAATCAGAACTATACAATAACGATAATCTAATAATAATAAAACAATTACATTAACAATTACATAGAACATGTGTTATGTCTATATTTACATTCAATTAAACACGAAACGTTTCAGATTGGGCAAATTTCGCACTGTGGAATGTGATGAATTGCAGTAAGAAAATAAGCATTCGTTAATTATGCGTTGCTGATTATTGACTTTCACGTTTGCAAACGAATGTCACACTGTCTTGGGATTTACGAGCATCTATATTTGGATTACAAACGTAAAGAGGTAGACTCATATACGTGCGTGTCTGCGCATATGATACTGAATCTATCTTTTTACGTTTACAAGTTGGACGTCTAAATCGGTCTTATCCAAAGTCTTAGGACTAGCAAAAGATTTAGCATAATCTATAATATGCTGACGGTAGAATGGGAAATCATTTTTAACGTTACAGTGTGCAAACATAAACTCTGTCAAATTGAGAGAAGCAGAAAGTGTGTATCCAACCGTTCTACTTTTGATACGTACAAGAGGTCGTAACAGCGATGAGATTAATCCTTTAAAGCACCATGTGCCAATACCGAATATCAATTATGCCAATCTTACCAAATACCCATACTTTTAATCAACATCTTGATTCGCCAATTAGCGACGAAAATTGGTACACGTGATCAAAACGATACTCTCATTTTTCACACGTGAAATGAGAATGATCGAAGAGAGAGAGAGAGAGAGAGAGAGAGAGAGAGAGAGAGAGAGAGAGAGAGAGAGAGAAAACTGCTAAGAATAGGTAGTTTCCATATTTGCAACATTCCAATTAAAAGGAAAAAATTCAAATTGGACTGCGCTTTTGATGCTCGGTATTGTGATGCTACGTTAAAAAAAACATCAATCTCATTGCTTTCGTAACAGATACATACAACATACATAAGATTTTCCCTCACTGATTACGCAAGGTCAAATAAATTCACCAGTTGGCGTTTTTTTTTGTTTTCGTCAGTTACATATGTACAATCGCGATGCGGACCGAGACTATTCGTAGTCCAGCTACTCTTAAAAGCAACAATACAGTTCTTCGTTTATTAGCGCTTAATCGCAAGAATAGAAAGGCGATCGCGAATGAAACGATTTAAAAGGTTGTTTTCGGTACATTCGCCGACACATCGCAATTTCGGATTCACTCGATTCCATAATTTTCCAAGTCTTGTTGCGCACAGTCACTCGTTTATCTTTGCTTCATTGAGACTAGAAAGACGAAAGATGAACGAAACTCGAAATGCACTACCGTAGGTCCTACTGCGACAGTATATTACACACGATGTGAAAGGAAATCTATCGTCGGATAGCCGTATTTAGTGCTTGACATATTCGATGAAGATACGAGCATTGAACCTTGGCCAAATCTCTTTGCAATAACGATGCATATTGCATACTCGCTCATAGTTCGCATTGAGACAGACTCGTCGGTTTATTGTAATTGAGACGTTTTCTTGCGAAATTATAATGGTATCAGACGCGGGCGAGCAATTAAAAGCTAAAAATGGTATTAGCGATTTAAAAAACCAAGATTTAAATACAAATGCATATGTATATTTCCGTCTGTCAACTTTTACACAGACTACATCTGTATAGATCTGTATATGTATAATAAAAGTTAAAGATTTATCTTAATTTTTTTCTAGTTTTGAAAGAAAAAAGATTTCTGCTACTGCTCTCGTCCAAGTGTCGAGAGTTTAAAATTACGTCATTGCGTAAAAACGTACACCTTTGATGCACGTATCCTGCGCGACCGAGCGAATATGACGAATATGGCGAGTCATATAGATAAAATGGAGCAAACGATATTTTTCTTCCTCCATCTCCCGTTGCACTGAACAAAACTAGTGAATATTCGGTTAGTACGTAAAAATCAATGTGCACAAGTTGCGCCGAGCGGAAACAACAGTCGTGGAATTGCTAAGCAGCGATTGAATGAAAGTAGTGATTAGCTTAAAAAAGAATGACTGGTCGTTGAACTGTTTAGCGAGCCGATATAATATACTTTGTCACTTTGTGTGAGGTTGCCTCCAACGCACCAGTGCGTTCAGATTTGCTTCATTTTCATCTATATGATGTAGTATCTAGTAATTGGTAGGTCGCTTAGCACACACCGACATCTCTTTGTCTCGTTATTAACTGATCGGGAAACTTAATGTCTACGTTTCTATCTCGTAAAGCATCCTGCAAGCTGTCCCGTGATCGCACGTCATCGCGCAGCATAATGATCCATTGACAAACAATTATCCATTTCTACCGATAGGACAAGAATGTTATAAATAATAGAAAATTGATCTGATAGGCCCGGACAGAGCAACATGGTTGAAATTGCACTTGTGTAGAGATAAAAAAATACCGCGTTTCCACTATACTTGTACGAATGATAAATACGGGGATTCGCGAATGTTTGAAACTCAAGAACGTCTTTTGCGATGACAGCGATCACAGGTGGAACCGTTCGTTTCAAGCCTAATATACATCGACTATTAGGTTTACAAAACAGACGCCCTACCTCATAGGGCTTCAAGGATCGAATCGGTTTTACAGTAGAGGAGAATATGGGAATCCAGAGAAATCGGAGACGGGAACTCGGGCTGATACGTGGGGCCGAAGGCCGGTTACTCCCGTAGTTTGTGCCAATCGGCGATCTGTCGTCGCGGTGAGCTGCATACCTCTTTCCAATGGTTAACAGCGGAGCCTTGACATTTTGGTCCACCAAACTCTAGCCGGCCGATTACCTAAATGATTACATTGTGTTACGACTGACGAGTTCAATTTCTAATTCTTTTCAATTTCTTTTGCGCTTTATTATCTTTGCAATTCAACAAGTTCAAAGAACTGAGGCATGTATATGTGTACATTTTAGGAGCATTCCAGCCAATTCTACTACACGCGTGTGTATTGCGTATGTGAAGTGATTGATTCTCTTGCGTGAAAGGCACATTGATCCGAATGATAATGGACCGAGCGAAACGTTGGATGATTAAGATGCAAAATTTACCTCGTTTTTCGTGACTCTATCCCAATCCAGTAACATAAACTCAAGACTGACGTTGTTGAGTCCATCCGCGCCGTTTGGTATTTCGAAGACGAAGGACTCGTTAAATACCGGGCTGAGCGTACGTTTCTTTACGTGCGTCTTCTTCTTAGCGATACGCTGCTGGTTGTACAGAAGATAGATTTTCACATACGGGTCAGCGAGCCCAGTCACATCCATCTTTGGTAAGTTTCGTGCTTTTAACACCACCACCGTCAGTCGGCTGGTAACAGGTTGCCAACAAAGAGAGACCAGCAATTCTCCTCGCCCCTGTGATTGTATCTAAAAAGAAATATTCATCCGTGAAAGATTTCTCAATCTTTTCTGTAATATTCATTTCTAGACAATGTGCTTTAAGCGCGCTATGTTCCTTGGATATCTATTTGGATACTTGAAAATTATAATAATAATATATGAATAAGGCTTCAATAAAAATATATATAATCAATTAATAGAAGGTAATATGGGCAATGTGAGCCGTTGATCACATGATCTTAGGTGAACGAAATTAAAACAATATAAGGAGAAATGTTATATATTATAAAATTTCGTAGCAAAACAGTTATCTAATGTAGGTTCCGTACGTTTCGGTCACAACAAGTGACCCTCTTCAGCTATACAATAATTAAATTTAGTAAACAATCAGATTGATGATATAAAACATTTGGATGACCTAAAGTTACTTATTATTCTATGTATGTACCGCGGAACGATCCGACGAGTACAACATCGCTAGGAACGCTAATGTATTTGAAAGTTCTTTAGAATAATATGGCTAGATATACCGTGACCGAAACGTACGAAACCTACATTATATAACTGTTTTGCTACGAAATTTTATAATATATAACATTTCTCCTTATATTGTTTTAATTTCGTTCACCTAAGATGTGACGGCTCACATTGCCCATATTACCTTCTATTAATTGATTGAAAATTATAATTATTTGACACAAAAAATGATAACGATAAATAAATTTCTTCTTCTTGTCGCCAGCGTTATTAAAAAAAACAATAAATAAAAATGTTTGATGTAGTTTCAACCAAACTGGCAATATATTTGATTAATCAGTTACAACGTTTCGGCTCCGTTTTGAGCCCTTCTCAAGTAATCTGAAAACAAGTGACAAGCAAATGGAAATATATACAGGGTGTTATGTAATACCCGCATCAACGCTTATTGTGGGATAGAGTGGACTAGACTAAGTCGAAAAGTCCTGTACCACTTTGCAGGTTTTGCAATAGTTAACGAATTATTAATTATTAAAAATCGCTGTCTTAGGCCGGTCCACTGCCCAATTCAAACGTGCGGCGAGATCGATCGATCGTTACTAGGCGCGCAGAGAGTTGTAACGATCGATCGATCTCGCCGCACGTTTGAATTGGGCAGT